AGTACCTTAATTTGTAGAAGAGAGCCCAGATAGTGGTGTTGAGAATGCAAGAATCTGTTGTTTGCCCTCACGTGCCTAATGCGTGTTACCATCAAAAGCCGATCTAACTAGTTATAATTTACTTACCGCACCAGACCGAGCATCCGGTTACAATGAGCGTAACAAGCGCTGAGGTGTTCATTTATTGTAAAAAAGACCCTTTTGCTTTCGAGACAGCTATTTTGAGACTCACTTGGCCACTCTCGTGAATTTAATAGCTTCACTTCTTGACAGATGACAGCTTACTTTTCCGTGCACTTCATTATGGCCTGGACCATGTCAACTTTACTACAATTACAATCCAAATGTGCCTCCAGGTCGAGACCGATGAATCCCATGTTCTCTCTATTTTCTATTTTTTAGACGGCATGATAGTGTGATGCTCTCGGGGAACGGACTAGAAATCGGTTTATCTACTTCAACGTTGGCAGACATTCCTGATAAATAAGCTTTGCAGTCAAAAGCATACAGTGCGTCAGCACCCTGTTTGTTAATGATGTGGAACTTTTTTCTGCCTCTAAATGCTCCACCCAAGAGCGGAACTAAAGATTCTTATATAACTTTGTAATTATATGCTCTTTTGTTTTAAAATTGGCATATATATGATGATCTTGAAAATATCCGTTTTTTATATTTAGAACAATATAGGTTTTTGTACTGAACAGCGAAAGACGCGTCCCGCGGCCCTCATTTTCTCAAAGTCCAACCACCCGAATACTTATCCGGTCACCCTAGTACTAATATTGATACTACAACGTGGTATTTTGCTCTCTAAATTGTGAGCCTTGGTCTGAACCCAAAGGCAATCGTAGTGTGTACGTACACCTTGAATAAAGACCTATGCACTTTGTATTGAGAGAGTTTTGACTTTATATATCTGTGATTGCAAACGTTTAGTGACTGCAGTGGAAATTAAAGCATCTACCATAAAGGTGTACATTGATCTCTGTTATATCAAGAGGGTCAAAGTTGATTTATTGATATACAACGTTGCCAGACATGCAGAGCTGGACAGGGCG